AGAGCCTTTGAATCCTGCAGTTCACTGGCAAGTGTGACCATCCCCAACTCAGTCAAATGTATTGGGTTTAGAGCCTTCATGGGGTGCAGCTCGCTGGCGAGTGTGACCATCGCCGACTCCGTGACAGAGATTGGGAATAGAGCCTTTGCTGATTGCAGGTCGTTGGCAAGTGTGATCATCCCCGACTCCGTGGTCGACATTGGGGAATTAGCTTTTACCAATTGCTGTGCTTTGACTTTGGCAGTGCCCATCACTCGGGTCAGGTTAGATATCAACGCTATCAGTGGCTGCAAACGGGTTCTGGCAAAAGAATGTGAATGTCAAGAGTGCGAGTACTGGTGGTTTCAGAATGGCTGGGTGTGTCCGAAACAACGGTGGCGATCTTCACATCGCAGCCGTGGCCGCCGTCGCTGAGAGCCTTAGTGAAGCAAACTTGCTGCAAATCATGGCAAAGAACGAAGTGCCTTCATGATTGGTCGACCTTTGACGCAAGTTGGAGCATTTCACCTTCTGTCCAACCGATTCTCAGCATCTTTCAGCTACTCCATGAAAGGTAAGGTGCTTGGCTTGGTGGCTTCGATGTGGCGAGCTCGAAGGGTTCTCCACGACCGGTCTACGAGAACCGACCACGGACGTCCGTCTCCAAATCCTGTCCTAAGCCGCCACGCCGGAAGACACCAACCCACCATGAGTTTCGAGGAATACACTCTGCTTCCAAACACATGTTTCCCGAGGTTTCTGGGGAAGTGAACGAGGCAGAAACTCCCCGAAGTGAGTGAAGTCACTTGGCAAAAGGCCGCTCACTCGAAGCGAGGCAGGCGAACTGTCACATTCTGAACAGTGGGAAAAGACCTGGGTCTTCCCCCTCACGGAGAGCCGACTGAGAAGTACTCGTATCATAGTTTTTTACCTGACTCTTAGCTCGTTTAACATGGAAGTGTAAAAAGAAACGAAAAGGATATCAAACCAAACACCTCTTTCGGAAGACTATACTTTCCACCAACAGGGTGGGCCATCCACTTCCATGTGAGTCACTTCGGTGAAAGACCCCCCAAAGCTGGTTCGGTCCATGCAGAGCTAACCACCGGGCCACCAGTCCACCGCAGTGGACGGTCGCTGAAGTCTCCAGGTTGAACTCACTTAGGTCGCTCACTCGAAGTGAGGCGAACTGTCACAAGTGGAAAAGACCTGGGTCTTCCCCCTCACAGAGAGTCTAGAGAAGTATATATATATATATAGATATAGATCTTCACATTTCCCAATCGGCTTTTGCAACCCGATTCGGCTTCCGCTTCGTCTCAACAGGCAACTGCAAGCAGTGCCGGTTCGGCACCACGCGAGAGGATTCTCCGCTCCGAGCAGCGACTTGGCAATGAGAGCGACTCGGGGGGGCGACGAGGGTCAGAGGATGTCAGAGGTCTTCCACGGATTTCGCAGAACGGTGAACATCGCAAGAAATCCGGTTTTTGATGGTAAGTATAATAGCTTGGTTGGGGGTTGCACAGGCTGACAGCGGATTTCCAGCTCTGTAGGCCCTGAAGCTGCTCCAAGTGCGAAGCCGCTTTTGGGGGGTGAGCAAAGCGGGTTTGCTCCACCGTTTGGATACAGAATTCTGGGCATGTCCTTTCACAAGTTGCATGGCGGAAATATGAATTTTGTCATATTTTGTCGATGAATTTCTATGTTGCTTTGTGGTGTGGTCCAGGAAAATGACTCATGTGACCCCCACCTGGTAGTGGTTGTAGGTGGTAGTCATGACTTGCAGGTGGAATTTTCATGAGTTAAACATACAAGTTCCGAGCTTCACTTTAAGTGTTGACTTGACACTCAAGTGAGTCACCCTTTTTGTTACGTTCCTGTTCACTTTTGGAGGACATGATGACATCCGAAGAAGATCTGGAATCCCAAAATCGGAGCGAACTCTGCGGGTGGAAAGAAACACACCATCAAGAGGTTTTGAATTCACCAGGATCACTGGGTCATGCTCGGGTGGTTTTTTGGAAATTAGTTACTTTAAAGACCTTGCTGGCCGGCCAGGGGCGCAGAACATCACGAGTAGGTAGTGGCACCTTCAAAAGCACCTGGTGGGATTTTATAAATTCCACAGGGCCGAGTCACGGAATTTGGACACCTGAAGTTTTGTTGAACTGATTTGGTGAGTCCTGGAAGAGGGCCAACATGTTTCTCGAACTAGAGGGACAGGTGATGCACAGTTTCTGAACAGAGACTGTTCCGGACCAAAGACGTCAAATCTAAGATGGGCGGTTTCAACACAAGCGAACTTCCCCGCTGATTGGCCCGGAACTTTCCCGCCGACACTGACCCGTCCGGATCGCTTCGCCGTGTTTTGCCTCGTGTTGCAGAGAGCAGGTGGTCTGCCGAGTTGCTGGAGCCGCAGGTCACAACGAGGCTGGGAGAGGAGAGAGTTGCATTGAGACGGGAATGTTTTTTGAAAGACAGGCTGTGAAGGGAAAGGCCACTCACTCAACACTTTCTGAACAGAACCTCTGAAGACATCTCACGCCTAAAAGAAGAGGGTTCTTTTCTCGCTATGACCCTCCCCAACTCGAGTATGTCACGTGATGGCGATCTCTAACTCTATAAGGTTTCGGATCAAGTCTTCTTTCTTTAGAGGGGTAAAGAAGAATCTCAGGGCCATCCATCGATCTTTGTATAGAGTTTCAACGGCAGCCATGGTGAAGGTTTCATTTCGACAGCTGAACGGTGAAACAATGAGTCTTGAAGTCATGCCAGACATCACCGGTCGGGAACTCAAGGAGCGGATCAAGGATCACCAGCTTTGGGATGATGAACTCACGCGTAAAACAACCCGGGTGGACATTGTCGTTGGGCCGAGCAGAGTGCTGACGAACGACGAGACAGCTGCAGATGCAGGCCTTTGTCCAGAATCGGATGTGACCGTAATTCTGAGACGCAACACTGTGACGTGCTCCCACAAAGGTGAGCTTGCCCAGTTTTGCGATGAGATTGACTTGAACTCTTTTTTCGTAGTTCAAATCCCAAGTGGCACCTCTGAAATTGTCCACCATGCATTCAGTCAATGCGGAAATCTTGCAAGTGTGATCATCCCCAACTCAGTGACCGAGATTTGGCGTGGAGCCTTCGCACATTGCAGCTCGTTGGCTAGTGTGACCATCCCGGACTCAGTGACAGAGATTGGCTCTTAAGCGTTTGAAGGATGCAGCTCGTTGGCAAGTGTGACCATCCCGGACTCAGTGACGGAGATTGCGGATGAAGCTTTTGC